CTTTTGCGGGATTTTGCAACCCAGAAAAGCGAAAGAGGAAGCTTGCCCCAGTATTAGGCATATTGTTATTCTTGGGTTTTGGGCTTAGGGTTTTTGGGTTGAGGAATAACGGGGATTTATGGGGGAAGGTGTTTTTTCTTGGTTTTAGGCTTGGGATTTTGGGAATATGGTTTTACGGGGATTTGGGTTTGGGATTTTTTGGCTTGGGATTTTGGGCTAAGGAATAACGGGGATTTGGGAATATGGTTTCGGGATTTTTTGGCTTGGGATTTTGGGCTAAGGATTTCGGGAATATGGTTTCGGGATTTTTTGGCTTGGGATTTTGGGCTTGGGGTTTTGGGATTTTTTGGCTTGATATTTGGGCTTGGGATTTACGGGTTGAGATTTGGCATATGGGTATAGCGGGGTTTTGGGAATATGGTTTTCGGGAATTCTGGGTTGAGATTTGGGCGCCGAGTTGGCGGAATGGTTCCATAGAGGACTGGGGCGAGGTGTCTTGTAAGTCCCTCCAGCCCCCCCGCACCTTCTTCAGCGGCGCGAGCAGGAAGCTCAGCACCATCAGGACGAGAATGTATGCCATCCTTAGGATGCGTTAAGCCCAGACAACCGCCGGGGGTATCTGAAGGCGCCTAGGACCCACTGAGAGCCACTGAGGCCGCCGGCTGGAAGACGGTGTTTCCCATGTTGTTGCGCCAATCGCGGTGGGAAACGATATCCGCAACCCAGTTCGCCATGGTCCCAGCCAGAAAGACGAGCAAGAGACCTCAAAGGCATCAAAGGCCCCCGCGCCCATTTCACGATGCAGCTTTAGGGTTTAGGGTTTAGAGTTTAGGGGTTTGGGGTTTAGACTTTAGGGTTTAGGGTTTAGGGTTTAGGGTTTAGGGTTTAGGGTTTAGGGTTTAGGGTTTACGGCTTCATGGGCACTTGTTGCAGCATAGCGGCGAAACTCGTAGAGATGTAATCTACTTCTGGACAGCATGAATGCTGTTCCTGAAGCACAGCAGCAGCTTCTGCTTTCTCGGCAGGCTCCCAAGTCCAACCCTCCCGACAACTTCTCCGACGAACGACAACGCAAAGTTCATTGCTTTCCAAGTTGCCACTAATGGTATAAAGATATGGGAGCACCCACCTTAAACAGAATGGGACATTGCCGTCAAGAGTCGAAGGTGAGAATCACGGGGGTATCATCACGACAAGAGGCCAGCATACCCATATTGGTGCACATAAGGGGCTTACGAGTGGGCTACAAGTACAGCTGTAGTTGGTGAATAAGTGCCATGAACCTCCTAAGTATCGGCAGATTCAGAGGCCCGTATCGAGTCCAGGGGGCTGCTGCACCCAAACAAGGTTCCGATCAGAGTAGTGGCGTCCCCCGGAATGCTCTGTCACCGTGCAGGCCACCTCTTCGAAGTCTGCTTTGTTTTGGGGGGCGAGGGTCTCAAGGCGGGGGGGGTAGTTTCCGATACTTAGGGTTATTGCGGCCCATATGACAAAGGAGCTCTACGATTTGGGGGTCAAAATTAGAAATTAGGGGTCCCCTTTTTTCGGGCGCTGCGGTCACGCTCTCCCTCATGAAGCTGATGCGAGTACCAAATACTGCGGTTGGGGTCCCGAGGGTGGGCTCTTAGTGGCTTGGAAACCGAGATTGGATCTCCAGGTGTGATGGGTGCTGCGGTTGGACTGGTCTCTAAGCCGGTTAGTAACTCAAGACATTAAGACTCAGCCCCAGATCAACCATTAACAGGAGCTAGATATAGAGGGTTGGGTGGACGTGAAGCAGTTCTTCTTTCACTGCCTTAAACCCCCATTTCAGGGCTTGGAGGGAAGTGCCGAGTCTGGTCTGAGGCTTGCGTCCCTGAGCGGATATGAGGATCCCAACCCTCAAGGTCTTCAGACTCCAAAAAAAAATAGATGCCGTCTTAAACCCCAAACCTCAAACCCTAAGCCCTAAACCCCAGACCCTAAACCCTAGACCCTAAACCCTAAAACCTAAAACCTGGGTTGGTCTCCACGAGCAAGAGCCACTGAGGCCCCCAACACAGATGATTCGAGCGTAGTCCAAATGCCAGAGCCGCTCCCTTGCAGGCCTCTCCTGGTACAGGGTCTAGAGTTGAGGGGTTTGGGGGTTTTTAGGGTCTTTAGGATTCTCAGGGTTTTTAGGGTTTTAGGGTTGAGGGTTCAAGGAGGGGGTTTCTTTTTCCAGTTCCTATAGTGCCTCTTGTATACAACGGCCTTCTGGCATTATTTTCCGGGCCTCAACCCGAAACCCTCAACTCAGAACCCCTCTCCAAAACCCTGGCACTGTCTTACCAGGATGGCCATGAAAACCTTCTGAACAATATTCCCGAAGATGATCCTCTTAAACCCAAAAGGATCCCAAAAGGATCCCAAAAAGGATCAAGAAGAGAAATATCAAGTACCCCACATTTCGGAAGCCCCCTGGATGTGTTTAGGCCTCGGGCGGATCTAGGAGGTCGCCCTCCTCTCCGGCCTCCGAGTCATCGTCCTCGGGGCGCAGCACTTGAGAAGGGCTTAGGGCTGTGGGGTTTTTTTGGGGTTTAGGGGGTTTAGGGTTTAGGGTTTAGGGTTTAGGGTTTAGGGTTTAGGGTTTAGGGTTTAGGGTTTAGGTTTTAGGGTTTAGGGTTTAGGGTTTAGGGTTTAGGGTTTAGGGTTTAGGTTTAGGGATTACAGCACGTGCTGCATCTCGATGCCCCGGCTGGAGCCTCAAGCTCGCATACTCAAGTCCGGCATCATCATCAACAACAACCACTACGTACCACCACTCCCCCGCAGCATCTAAGCCCCAAAACCTTCAGTCTCCCAAAAATAATAACTGCGGGAGGGACCGGTTAGCTGCCAAGGCACGGTCGACTCTTGATTGTCGTCCGAATCCTGGGGAATTTCAGGAGCTGCAAAGTGTGCCCTGTGACTTCTCGCTCTGGCATACATGCCTCCTCAGTCTCGCCGGTTGTGCCTTCTGACATGCGCCCTCCCCATTGTGTGAAAGGGGACATGCCGTTTCACTCATTGACTTCTGTTCCGCGCGTGCTGCTACCGGCGTCGCTCAGTCGGAGAAGGCTGATACACTGGCACACTTTCACAAACTTACAGCTGCAGGAGCTGAGACCGTCTTGCAGGCGCACAGAATGAATACGTCATAGTCGCAAAAGCAGGAACCAATGTCAAGAATCCTTTGTGGCTGCCAGCAGCGCGACGGAGGCCAACGCAAAGAGAAGCGGCAGGAAGGCGCGTGAAAAGGATGTCCTCCAGGCACTCTGAGAAGGCGACTGAGGTGCAAAGCAGGTCATCTTGGTTCTACACTGTTGCGCACTACACGTCCGACAGTGTTTCGAAGCTCACCCCTGTTGTCTTCGAGCTCTGAGTCACCACCAAGAGCAGAGCTCAGCAGCAGCTTTGAACAAGTCACTCCAGTAGCTAGTGGTGCTCTGTGAACAGGGCCTGGCCTGGGATCGTTGTCCCAGGTCCCGCAGCCACAACGCACTGTCGATGTGCGGTACAGCCAGTTCTGGACAGTGCTGGTCACGTTCTCCCAAGCCTGTGGTCCGCTTTGAAAGTCTGAAGAAGCATTCTCTCGGGGCTTACGAGGGCTTACGAGGGCTCAGCTTTCGCCAAGACGTTAAATGGTTGCATCCCCGAACAGATGAGGGTTGTTCGATATGGGGGGGGGGGGGTGCTTTAAGGGCGACTGCAGTGAGGATGCGATTTAGCAATGAAGGGTGCACTCTCCCTACAGCGAACGCTCGGAACTCGCTTGTTCTCGTGACAGAGCAGCAAGCGGGCGAACCTCGTTTTTCACTCGCTGCTCTAGCATGAGCAGACTGAGCAGACTGAACAAAGTGACGAGAGATCACATGCTCTTCCCCGGAAGACTGAGTGCAGTGAGGGATGGGATTGACAATTTGAAGAGTGATCAAAGCCAGCTCGCGCGTGCTTCAGTATGAAAAAGGACAAGACTTTCTCCCATGGCAAAACATGTACGACAGAGGCAGCAACACGTGCAAAAATGACAACTTCAGCCAGCACGTGGAAAATACGTGGGGAAAAATAATGCGCGTTGAAAATATTGAACAAGTCGCAACCAGCAAACACGACCGTGTGAGTTCAACACCTGGGCCATCTTCTTGGTCCCTAGCCTTCAAAGGGTTTAGGGCTTGGGGGATTCCGGGGTTTAGGAGGTAGGATTGAGGGTTGCGGGTGCAGGCTTCAGGGCTTAGGGTGTGGAGTGTAGGGTTTCGGGTTTAGGTTTCGGCTTTTTCAGCCAAACCATGAATGATAATAAACAATGATAACAATAACAATGACAATGACAATAACAATAACAATGACAATAACAATAACAATAACAATAACAACAACAAAGAAAACCCTGAACCACCTAGAGGCAAGGATGGCTTAAGGCTTCAGACTGCAAGATGTAGGACCAGGCCAGGCCTCGCAAGGAGGCGGCGAGCGATAGTCCATTGCTTCAAAGTCCACAGAGCTCAGTACGTTACTACGGTGCTTTTTTTTGCGTGGTATGCTATTGCTACTCTAGTATTCTACGACTTTACCGTACTGCAATACTTGGTATACTATTCTACTATTATACTATTATGCTCGTATACTATTATACTATTATACTATTATCCTATTATACTACTATACTATTATACTAGTATACTACTATACGAATATACTGTGGGTTTAGGGTTTAGGGTTTCAGGTTTCGGGTTTCGGGTTTAGGGTTTAGGGTTTCGGGTTTCGGGTTTAGGGTTTAGGGTTTAGGGTTTAGGGTTTAGGGTACGCGAAATAAGCTGGAGCCGAGCATGGCTCCCATCCGCCATGTGCAGCCATGGCAGGCGCTGGCCACATGGCGAGGCCTTGCTCCCTCTGCACACCGAATTCCCACAGGAGCTCGGCTTCGGATTTCGAAGACGGGCCTCAGATCCCTGATATCCTGACAGAGAAGACCTGCTTTACCCATCCAACCCCGAGCAAGCCTGCAGTGAGTTCATCGGAGTTGCCTGGCGTAGCTCCGCAGAGTTCAGCCAAAGGTGCATGCGGATGCACACCGAACGGCGTTGCTCTAGGTTGACCGGCTAGCATCATTCGCAAAAATGCGACATTTCCGACCATCTGACTTTGCCTACTCTCAAACGCAGTTCAGGACACGGGCACATGGACATGTCCTTGCGTCACCCTGATACGTCATTCATGCACAGCCGACATGTAAGCACTCGAGGCAGGGGGCCAGGCTGAGCTGGGAGCGCAGCGCGTAGCGGCCCGAGACGGCCCCCACGCCCCAAGCTACTCCCAAGACAAGCACTGCGGCGAGCCCGCGAAGCGGCGAAGCGGCGAAGCGGCGAATCACCAAGTTCTCAGGGTATGGGGCTTAGGGTTTAGGGTTGAGGGTTCAGGGTTCGGAGCTTGGGGTTTAGGGTTCAGGGCTTAGGGATCTTAGGGTTTAGGGTTCAGGGTTGAGACGGCCACATTAGGGTTGAGACAGCCACACAGGGCGCGAGCGGTTTTCGCTTAACAACGGGCACTCGCGCTGTCCCTGCCTTCGCTTGGGTCTGCTCCAGGCATTCGCCGATTGTGTTTTTTATGTCATTGTATCAGTATCGTGACATGTTACTATATTACATATATCCTATATAGTAGTATTCTCGTAAGTTCTTAACGGGTTTAAGGAAAGGGTGCTCTAGGATTGGTTGCTCTGGCTGTGGGGGGGGAAGGGGGGCCTGGACCCTGTCGTGGCAGCGACCCATCTGAGTGAGACTATCGGGGCTGAGCCCAGTGTGCACCGAGCTACCAAACAGAGCTTATTCAATTCGAGGGTCGAAGGGCCCTAAGCCTTAAACCCTCAACCCTCAACCCTAAACCCTAAACCCTAAACCGGAAGTTTGGGGCTTCGGCGCAACTTACCATTCGCACCGTCTTCACACCCAAGGGAAACTTGTGCACACATGGGCGCTGGCCCCCTATTGACATTGGGGCGGCTGGGCGGCGCATCCAAGCGGGACGACGATCCCGCCGGAAAGTTGTAAAAAGTGCTGCTAGTGTGGAGAGGAGGCCTCCTAAGGGTCTTTGTAGGTTCTGAATCCGGACTGGGATATGGAAACCAAGTGCAGTTGGTAGGAGAGGAGCTAAATCACAGAGCGGCCACCGAGCTGGGCATTGAGTCTACAAAACAGAGCTGGACCACCGGCGTCAGCAGATACAGATTGGTCGTGCTCGGCCAGTCTGCACCTGAGCCAGTGGTGTTGGAAGGTCGACCTAAGGGCTTGTGCAGCCCCTGAAACTAGCCTTAAAAGCCAAGCCCTATCAAAAACTATACAATATACATGTATATATATATATATACACACACACTTCTTTGTTTATGTAGGTATGTACTTGTTCGCTCTGTTTACTATACTTGCAAGATACTTACCAATGTTCGCCCATTTACTTCGATAGAAACACACATGCGTCCGCCCGTACGTACAGATGTGGGGGGTTTACGAAAGAATGACGGAACCCTAACATAAACCCCAAATAGTATAGGATCCCCTCAAAATAGGGACCCCACGAAGCAACCCCCAATTTTTCGGAAACCCCCCCATAGCTATCCCAAGCAAGGTTGGGCAGCGTTGGGCCTTGGAGGGTGACAGCTTCAGCAGTGCCAGCGGGACGTCCTCAGCAGCAGTGCGGATGCGGCTGGGGGTTGACGATATTAAGGGACCCCTAGAAAGGACCTCCCAAATAGGAGGATCCCCTTTTCATAAGGACCCGAATAAGGTACCCCGAATATCGTAAACCCCCAGCAACCTTCTAGCCGAGTGGATATCTAGGATCCTCGAAGACGTGGCGCAGCAGGGCTGACATCTCCAAACTCGCAACCCTTGACTTTCTGGTATTAAAAAAAAAACCTGGTTCTTAGTAGCGAAGGATGGAATTAGGGCCCTACATATACCTTTAAGGGGATTATATGGGGTACCTCCTTCCCTCATTCCCTACGAGGAACTTGCCAAAAAGTCCGATGGCAACAGCAGCACGAGAGACTCTGGGCTCGCGTGCGCGAGGGAGGAGATTTTTTCTTTGCGCGTCCTGGCAGGTGAAGAGCTCTCAAGGTCAGCCCTGGCTTGGGACTCGCCGGCTTCTTCCAGGTTTAGGAGAAGCCTAAAAGCACCCCTCCTCACACCCCGAAACCCAACGCACCCAGAAAAAAGGTGAGGGGGAGGAGGGCCGGGCATGAGGAACCCTATTAATAGGCATGAAGCTTATGATTTACTGTATGCACGCAGCAAAACACTGCCTCCGTCACCAGACATGGTTGAAGCACTCGTACATAATAGGAGGGCTAGTGAATCGAAACCCCCTTACACCAAGCACTAAGACCTCAAATGCACTGAAGGCCCAAAACAAACACAACAGATTCGCCCAGTATGCTGGGTCCGCTGCTAGCTTCCAAGCGGCGGAAACTCCGCCTGGATTATGGCACAAGGCAAAGGCAGTAAAAGTCCTACAGGTTTCGAAGTGCACGGTTTGGTAGATTTAGACGGTTGTCCAGCGTGGGAGGAAACCTTTGAACCCAAAACAGCTGCTACGACAACCCCCTAAACCTGAACCGTCCTCCCCACACAAAGCTCAGCTCCGGGCCCAAAGCGCCGCGGTTTGCTTGTTGGTCCCACAGGCCAAACCTCGGGCCATTTGGGAAACTTGCAGTTGGGACGTTTAAGGCCGTTTGGGACATTTTTGGACGTTGGTTTCGTGAAAGTGCTTTTTTTTTGGCGGGGGGGTAGGGGGGGTGACTGTGAGGTTTCTGAAATTATACGGGGGAGAAGTGCATTATGTTGAAGGGGGTTGTAAAGGTCGTGTCTTGAGGATTCTGTACGCATTGAGGGCGTTTAGGTCCTCCAAGTAACGCCCATTCTCTCTTACCAGTGGCTGCACCCGTCTTCCCAATGCTTCTTGGCGCTTTCAGCTTTGGGGAAGCGGGTGCGAAGCATCAAGTCAAGATCCTGAGGCAACCACACTCCAGCAAATGGTTCTCATTCTTGAGTGTGCACCTGCCAGGAATTAAGGCCATCAGGCCAAACCCGTCCCATGCATCCCGGGTCTCACCCACAATCGCAGTTTTTTTTGTTCCCATACGAGACCTGTCTCACTATCTCACCCTCCATGACAGAGCCCTGCAAACAGAAGTCGCCTGGGACACGCCCACTGCGACATGGCTGTCGGATCATCGTCACTGGCAGGCTGGTGAGGCACCGGGTATCGGAAGGGCTTGGCAAGATTGGGGCGATTAGGGAGGCCGCATCTGCTTCCTGCTGCAGTCTACAACATGGCATGGGAGAGCCAGGAGAGCTGTGAAGGAACTCAAATATAGTCGAATGCTCAGGCGCGGAGCACGGACTGTAAAGTTGATGCGACTCGAGACACCGAAGATTCCTCTCTGAAACCCGAAAACCTCAACCTCCACCCAGCCAGGCTCCCGGCTCTGCAGCTGTGCCTGGGTCTGCAAGGTCTGCAAGGGTCATGTTCCCTTTGTGACTTGGCGACTTGGCTGGCTTTTGGCAGTCCCGCGTGCCTCTGTCCATAGGTTAGGACAAGTCAACAAACCAACTAACTCAAGAACGCAACGCAGAGTGCTTGAAAACCTGGGAGCCTTTAAGCCTTTAAGCAAGACGCAAACAACCTTGGGGCTCCCATCGAAACCCTGGGCCCCTGGCTCTCGACCTCCTTTGCCTTCGCGCCGGCGCCTCGGCCCCCGCGCCCGGCCCCGCCGCGCGCTGCCTGCAGGCTTGGTATCATCGGCTGCGGGGCTTCGGGTTCAGGGTTTAACAGTTTAGTGCTTCCGCATCTTGTCGCATGGTTCAGGGCTTTTAGGTGAGGTATACTGCTCGGGCTTTGCAGGCTCCACTGGAATTTGCATTCCTTCCCTCTCTGGTCAGAACAAGTTCGTTGGGCGCCCGTTTGACTAAACCTCCCAAACGCCCATCCTGCTTGAACCGTAAGCCGAAGGGTCCGAGGTCCCGAACCATAAGCCTGAAACCAAAATCACGGACGGCCACTGACCGCCACCGACAGAGTGCACACATGTGCGCACCAAGATCGGGCCTTTGCCGCGGTAGGCTGCACCTGGCACTATCAAGAAGCGGACTGTCGGAGCTGAGGGAGGAAGGCTTCAGGGTCGTCGGAGGCACTCGTGGCCAAGCCCGACTCGTTCAGACTCGGAGCCTTATGAACCCCTGGACACACGTGACATTGCTTTGCCAGCTGCCTTTGCATTTTTCTTTGAATTCGTCTTGGTGTCGACCGTGATAAAGTCAGCGAGCCTCAGGATTGAAAGGCGACCCCGGAACAAGGAGGCGGTGGTCGAAGTACAGAAGTTACGGGGTTCAGACCCAAGAGACAGCGTTCCATCCGCTACCATACCGCATGGGGAAGCGGCAGAGTGGACCTGCTCAGTCTAGGATCCCTATACTACATGCCGAGGCTGGTACGTGTTGTTCGGCCGCTGCGGCTGGGTCTTCTGCTGAGTTGGACCTGGGTGCAGGGCGACCCCGTCGCTCTCGGGAGAGCATGAAGTGCCACGTATTAAATTGTTTTTGCATATTTCAGGTGGTGCTTCGACAACTTGAGCAATCGCAGAGCCAAGGCTATGTCAGTCATCGTCCCTAAGGTCTGGGCCAGATCCAAACTCCTTCTCGAAGTGCTTCTTCAGCGCTTTGGCCCTGAGCTTTCTCAGCTGAGCTCAAAAAAGGTCCAAACACTGAATACCCACGCAAGAGAAATTGTCTCAACTGTCCTGCCACGCACCCTTCGCTAGGATCTTGCTCAAGCCATTCTGGCAATTTCTGTGCGCCCTCTCGTGGGTGTTGCGACCGCAATCCGACAGCACCTGAGCTTCTCCTTCTCCCAGTCTGAGCTTCCAGCAGACTATCCCAATTCTGCTCATCACTCTGTAATACGTTACCACCTTGCGAAGGTGCGCCGAGTCTCCGAACTAGTCGTGCAGCTGCACCATGCTTCACAGCTACCACAGACACCCTGCACAAGAGAGGCCGTGAACCCCTGCCTGACGCAGGCCCACAGAAGTTGAGGTAGTCCAGGTAGAAATGGTAGATGCACCCCTGCTCGCTCATGGCCTTGCCAACTGCGTGGAATGCCATCGCTACAAAGCAACGACGTGCTACGCCCACGGAGCCCCGCGATGGGCACAGCAGTCTGCACAACCCTGTCTCCTACAAAGGCGCCCAACACTTGCCCCTCTCGTCACCATCGAAAACTCAGCGCTGCGCCCTGAGCTCATGCGGACTCACCGCCGCAGAGCCCTGCTGGCGCATCCTGGCAAGGCGAGCCATTCGGGCGGCTTGCGCTGCATGGGGGCTTAGAATTGCAGAAAGCTGGGGACTGCATCCCTGAACAGGCCGGCCGGGCAGCTTGACGATAGCATCTTGTGCTTTCGTATGCTGTTTGAGGACCTTCACACTTACACGCCGGTCACGCAGCTCGCAGAGGGCGTGCGCGCTGCGCATCAGCCGATTGGACTACGAGGGCCACAAATCACCAAAGAAACAGGACGAAATACGACCAAAACCACAATAAGGCGGCTGCAAGTCACCGTCTCGGGACGCTGTGCATTTTCTGCTGCGAGCTGAGGCACAGGCCTCTGAAAGCGTCTGCTTCTGGCCACCCTTACCGCGGCCTGGCAGGATTTCCAGGAAGCGGGTCATGGGAGGCCGACACGAGGTACAGTACTCATAGACTAAGGGAGTCCAGCTTTCAGAACGTCATAGTCCAGCCATAGTCCAGCTTTCAGAACACCACTCTTCACCCCAAACCTCTGTACCCCGAAACCCCAACCCCTGCCTCAACCCTCTTTCAACCCGCTTTCAACCCTCTTTCAACCCTCTTTCAACCCCCATGGCCTCGGCCCTTGGCCTCGACAGCGCTAGGGCCAAAGCCCGCCTCAGAGAATGTTCTGTTGGGGCCCCCGGGAAGAAGCTTCGGGCTTCCGGTTTCGGGCTTCCGGCCGTGGAATTCGGGGGGGGGCTCAGGATAGGATTTGAAGAGAGGATTCTTTGACTTTGGGGTTGCAGGGCTCGGGTTGGGGTCTTGCACTTTGAGAGCAGCGACTCTCTCTTGCTGGTATGCTTGCCTTTTGTTGACCAGAAACAATTCTAGAGGGTTCGTTAAGGACTTGGATGCTGGGTCCTATCAGCGGCTGGGGTTGCGACATTGGCTCCCTTGCCCTCGGGCGCACCTGCGGGGGATCAAGATGAACAAACCCCAACGGTTGAGACCTGCAGGATCAATCCAGGCTGAGCCCAGTCCCCTTCACACGCCTGCCATGCCGTACGCTCCATGTCCACTTCTGTCCTCATTGCCACAGTCAGGTCCCAAGTTCAGAGTTGTCCAGATTAAAACACCTCTGGCGTAACATCACGGGCAAAGCTCAAGGGCTGTCCTTTCCCTCAGGGCCATGGGACGTCATGGCACCGGGCGGTCGGGGGGCGGGCGGCCTCCGGTGCAAAAACGACATCAAAGGGGAAATGCAGGGCAGGCCCCAGACCCAATAAATTTTCTTAAAGCTGAGTTTGCTTCAACAAGCAAAAGCAGGAGATCTATCTTGATCTTGTCGTAACCCGAAACCCGACCTCCTGTCCTCTTAAGCCCGGAATCAGGCGCAAAAAAGTTTGCAAGAACACAGCAACCTGAGATCCTCTCCTCCCACAGAGAATACGATATAAATCAAAAGCCTACAGGCCCTTGCACAAGAATCTTGGTGCCCGCACCCGCCCTTACCCTCGTCGCCCATCCGACCGTGACCGCAGCCTGCGCCGCCTGGGTTCCGGTGCCATTATGAAGATACAGCCAAAGATATACAGCACGAAAAGCCGCGACAACTGCCAGCTCCCAAATGAAGGGCACGCAAAGACATCCAAAGTTGACAGCCTCGCGGTGGCCCTGCAGGGAGGTCCTGGCACACAAGAAGAGGCTCAGGTGGCGTAGGTGGCATGATGCATGATGATGCATGGCTTCACAGATGGGCTTCTATCTCATCGTCTTCACTGGTGGACCTCGTACTGCGTAGGCGCGGGCCGCTCGACGTAGGACGGCGGCGGCCCATGCGGCCTGGGACTCTCACTCGGAGGGATGCAAATATCTCGGTACTGAGAGAAAGAAAGAGAGAGAGAGAGAGAGAGAGAGAGAGAGAGAGGAGAGAGATGAGAGAGAGATGAGAGAGAGATGAGAGAGCGAGAGAGATGAGAGAGGGAGAGAGAGAGTTGCATGGCTTATCCTGCCAACTGTCTCCGAAATCGTAGTCTGAGCTTCGGTGCCCGTCGTGGTATGAGGGGGGTGTCCTGGATGGCGCTTCGATGCGAACCTGCGGGTTTCAATAACCGTGCCGCTGCAGAACCTAACTCATCACCTATTTTCATCTAAGTTACAGCTCCTCTTACATACAGCTCGCCCACAGAAAGAACCTCTCAGGCCGGCCTGCCCGTAACCGGACTTTTCCGAAGGGGCCCGGCTGCCAGTGCTGCTCAGATAGCCTCACGAAACCGAGATCATGGAAACTGAAAGGGTCGGGATGAGAGAGGGTTTCGGGTTGCAAGCAACGCAGCACTCCTCGATAACCAAGCTCACAAGCACGCGCTTTTCGCCCGAGGATCAGAAAGCTCTGGCAGCTGAGACCCCCACCGCCACCCAGGCTGTCGCTCATGTGCCCGACGCCTCCAAGGCTCTAAAAAAACCACGAGTTGCACATGTTTTCAGGCTTTAGGCTCTATAGACTCCAGGCTTGAGGCTTTGGCCTTTGGGCTTGAGCGTGGCTTGGCTCTCTTCCCTTCTCCCTCGTCCGCTCTCCCTCGTCCGCTCTCCCTCAACCCTAGACCTGCCTGAGCCACCACAGCTTGAAGGCGGCGGGCCATAGCCATTCCTGCTCCAACCCATTGCATCTTAGAGCCCCCACGGTCCTAAGTGTGCTACACTGTACACTTTGGGCGCCTGAAAGGCTTCGTGGGGTGTACAAGAAGCGGCGCACGTCATTGAGTCAATGCCCTCTTCTCGAAGATTTACAGGGGGCCTCGAGACGGCTGGGGGCGAGGGCCGCTGGTAGCCACCTGCAGTGGCCAGAAATGCCCCCACGTGGCTTCGCACAAGGGATCTTGGGCTTCTTATCCTACACCTTCCATACAGGAGGAGTTCGCCAAAATCTGCGGACGCGTTTCGAGGCCCATCACTCCGCTTGCCCTCGACCTTGCTTGCAGAGTCTATCCCCTCCCACCAGGAGGCCTGGACATGCCATAGACATTGAATGGGACCCGCTCCGAATCTTCCCTGTCTATGGACTCTGGACTCTTTACAGCTCCATCCCTGCTTATTTGCGGACCCCCTATGGTCCAGTTGTCGACGTAGCCGACGCCTTGCCGGGTTGTCAGGGTCAAGGGCTTACAAAGCCTAATGGCGGTATTTTGGGTGCTGAGGTTTTCGGCTTTGCAAATGGAGGGGCTTTCAGTGGGGCCGAGGCTTGGCACGCGTGAGCGTTACTATTAAGGTCGCCCAGACTTCAAAGTGCTGGCCGGTTTGGGGGCTGCTGAGCTGCGAGCTCGCGCCAAAGCCGCTGGATGGGCCTCCACTGCTACTAGCGTGGAGATGTACTTGGCTTAGAGGCTTTGGCGAGGTTTTGGTTTTGGGGGGTTCTGGGCTGATACTACAATATCTATCTATCAATCTATCTATTTGTGCAAATATGTGTGTGTATATATATATATACGTGCATAATCATATTCATATTCATATTCATTTTCATATTCATATTCATATTCATATTCATATTCATATTCATGTTCATGTTCATGTTCATATTCATGTTCATGTTCATGTTCATATACATACACATATTACCTTAGCCAAGTTGGCACATCCTCCAAGACGTGTTCACTCTTGAGAACGGCCCATGTAGATGTGGTGTCGCGGAGAGGGCCGCCTTCGTTGCCCATCGCCGACGGGCCTATCTGCGAGTGATACATGCCGGGGCCCGTATCCTCAGCTTCTGCGCAGGCAACGTGCCACGAATGCCAAAAAAACAGAAAGAAGAGGAACCCCCCCCCCCCCACTTCGAGAGGTTGCACGGATGGACAGAAGGCTGAGGCAAGGCACGTACTCGATGTTTTTCTTATTCAGGTGCTGGCCTGGCACTCCCGTGAGTTTCTCGTCGCACTATCTGGAGCCTGCTTGCCCCACAAGGGGATGGCCAGATGAAACCAGCCGGCAGTACCATAGCTGCCCTGCATGTGAGGACTTTGCACAGGGGGCCTGTCAGCGAATGGCATGTGAAACCTTCTCACCCAGAAAAACAAAAGGACAACAGGAATCGAGCTTCAGAATGTAGGGCCATCCCGTCTTCTCTAACGGAGGTCTTTTCTTCTTCGTCTTGAGCCCTGTGCACTTCCGACTCAGGGCTTTGTTGTTTTCGACTCAGTCGAGGTGACTCGCGGGTACTTTTCCAGACTTGACCGTCTCTCCTCAGAATGCTTATGATTCCACCGTAATTCCACCCTCCCATGAAGTCACAAGAAGCGCACTGCGGGTAGCAGCACTAGGAAGTCCCTGGTACTCCGCAGTCCTGGTCGCCGGTGTCTGCTGCGGCTGCGGCTGCGGCGCATTCTCCGGAATGCCCTGCAGCACCGTCAGGTCCTTCAGGTCCTTCCCTGCAAAGGGGCTCCAACAATAGGGTTTAGGGTTTCGGGTTTAGAGGTTTAGGGTTTCGGGTTTAGTGTTTAGGCGGCCACCTCGGAAGACGATGAAGTCGTAGATCTCGTTAGACACCGGGATCTCTGCTTGCCTCGGCTTAAGGCACTGGAAGGGTCGCAGCACTCATCCGCGCGGGGTCAGAAATGCTTTCCATTTGGGGGCCGCACCCTCTGGTCTGGTCAGCTCTCCCTTCTGTGCCGAAGGATCTGACGCTTTCTACCTTGGCATGGCAGGTCAGAATTGCACCACACGGTTGCACCATGTTGCACCACACCTCGAGGATCTGTATGCGTCTGTGCTTTGAGTAAGACCACAACACATCGCAAAAAAACCTCTCTGAGATCTCAGCGGCGATGGTTGATTCCTCCCGGTTCAGCGTCCGAAGAAACCTCAACCGAAAGCACTTTGCAATGCCAAAAACAGTGTCCGTGGGTGCAAGCCGACTGGAAAGACCACGGGGCCTCAGAGAGAATTGCCTCATGTGCTGAGCGCACGGCCCTTCGTATCGCATGTCCGAGGTGGTGATCAAGCTGATCTTGCTCCCGATGTATGGCACCCCACTCGACATGACCTTAAGTCAGGCAATTTGCTCTTCAGAACAGCCCTAAACCATCCCAAACCCTAAAATTTTATGAAACCCTCAAGCTTCATCTTGGGCAGCGGCTGGCGCAGTGGGGATGCACACCAGGTTTCAAAGCGCTGTTGCAACAGCCTCGGTTCAGTCTGGCTACGCTTCAATCATAGAGCCTTCGCCCCAAAAACGCCCCAAGCCACCCGTGGAACCCAGAAGGTCCCAGATCCTGGAGCCCCAAAGAAGCGCCAAAAACACCCCTTCAAACAAAGCCGTGGACAAGCCCTTCTCAACCACAAAACCCTGAACCCTAAACCCTAAACCCTTTAAACATCCGCTGAAGCATCCCAAGCCCTGAGGCACAAGCTCGGAATGCCCAGGGCCGGGGCTTTCCCGGGCTTTGGTGCGAAAAAGGGCCCACGATTCGGTCGGCCTCTCTGAGGGAGGCTTGGGGGGACTGCGAGGCCCGAGGGCTGGCTTCGAGGGGTTTCGGGTTTAGGGTTTAAGGGTTTAAGGGTTTAGGGTTTAGGGTTTCGGGTTTAGGGTTTGGGGTTTAGAGGTTTAGGGTTTAGGGTTTAGGGTTGAAGGTTCAGGGTTTCTGGGCTTTAGGCTCTTTAAGGGTCAGGGTTTCGGGCTTGTGTCTCAGGCAATTTAATTCAGCTACCAACCAGCACCTGGCGCCAGAACACGTGTCATGTGACAGCCACACTTGAGACTTCCCGCAAAGCTACGTGCTGAGACCATTCCCACCTCCTCAGCACGCTAGCACGCTCGGATTGCTCTGCGGCACACCATGACTTGAGCCAAATTGCTGCAAAATGAAGGACATGACAGGTTGGGATGTTGCCCCTTTATACTAACAGCTCCTTAATAGGGATTATCATAGGGGAGGGGGTACTATAATCCCTACTAAGGACTGTCAGTATAAGGGGGGAACCTCCCAAAATCACCGGCGTACAGGATCGAAGGGATCTGTGAGGTGCAGCTGCGCTCGCCAGCAGCCATATGGCCTTGCAGCACTTCACGAGAACTTTTTCTCTCGTCGCCACGGAATGGCATCCAGATTTTAGATGGACCGGCGAATTAAGAGGGGACCGTCTCGTGATCCCAGCCCAACTCAACAAGAGGGGCTTTGCTAGTCATCGGCAAATGAGCCCTCGTCTCGTGTCTCATGCCAGGGCGCGCGGGGTCACCAGACATGGGCCATGACTGGGAAGACGTGGGGAGCATAAAGTGGAGAGCTAGAACGATGCACCTTGTCAGACCCGGACATCTGCAACCTATCCGAAGTTAGGCAGCAGCCATTCTTTCATCCCGTGCCACTTCCCGGAATGTCATGGCAAATTCTCTAGAATGACCCATGGAATTGTAGCGCCTTTCTCGAAACCTTTCTGAGGTGCCACGCAGCTCTCCAGAAACAGTCTGCAGCCGGGGCAACGCACCATGGCTGCAGCGACATGCCAAGAAGGCCGCAGGTTGTCTCAGGCGAAGAAGATGCCTTGACCCTGTTCCGTAGAAAATGAGCCTAAAATCGTGCAACTGTCCACAACCCTATTAGGGTTAAGGGGTTTAGGGTTTTAGGCTCCTACACCCTTTTTCACCCTGAATGGTGACAGCGGGCCTGAGAGGTTTTTTTTTTTTCAGAGTTGTTGGCATCATGTCGCCTGAGCTGCCACAGCGCTCACTCTCAGAGAACCGACCGAACCTGAGCGAGGGGGGGTATTGAGGTTTGCTTTGGGCGGAGAATGGCGAAGCGTCCCTGACCTTCCAAGCCATTCACAAGAAAGAAAGCTGCACAACACGGACGAGGCAGACAAGCAAATGTCGAACCACCAAAGCAGTTGGCTGGCAGAACTGCTGCCTACTGAGACCTTTCTTCTCGGTTACCTCAAAGAATGGCCGGCAGAAGAACTCAGACAAGAACACGTATTGAGCTCCTGGCTACTGTGTTAGCTTCCTGGCTGTGCAACCAGGATCAGACAGACCCACGCTGTTTTCGGGGCAATGTTTCGCAGCAGAATCATGAGACGAGCCTTTGCCATTCTCCACTTGATGCGCACGCTGGAATTGGAGGAGGGCGGTCTGCACGTCCCACAGGAAGCACGTGAAGCAGTTAAAGTCAAGACTTATACGCCCGTCGGTGTGCCAAACTGCAAAACCTGAACATACAAAGGAAAAGCATCTGGCGCCTGCAACTGCTGCAAAAAGTCCTCCTTGCCTGGCAGCACCTTGGCACCCAGGAGACTCAAAATCACGCTCTTCGATGTATTGCCACCACGTGCTGAGGACGGCTGCTGGCTTGGCACCACCGCCCCAAGCATTAACGGTCATCCTGTCATGCTGGGGTTCATTGGGGCTGCGATGGTGCAAACTGCGCGCGGCCAAAAACGTCTTCTGTGCAGCCACCATGCTCTTGACAACTTCTTCCCAATGTAGAGAGGGAGAGAGGGAGGGAGGGCTAGGAAGATACTAGTTGGCTGCTGCAGGTGCTGAGAGCTCTAAGGTCAACAGGTCAGCAGGACAGATCAGAGAAGTGGTGGATGGACTTATTGCCCGACCTGCAAGTCTGCATGTCCAGCGACAGGAAGCATGCCATGGCACTGCACAGGGCTTGTGATGTCACAAAGTATCCTACACAGAGTTTAAAGGGTCAGACCATGTTAATGGCCCAAGGCCACGACTGCTTCTGCTTCTCATAGTCTTCCATGACCGCCTCTCGAGACAGACGGCTTCCGGTATATCATATCGTAAGAATGGTGCCCCATCGGCCCCCTCGCCCGCCTGGTATCTTGACGAGATCCACTCGGCAGCCTCTTGCGCATTGAATCTGGCCTTCAAGCACTCAGCGCTCAGGATTCTTGCTCAAGTGGCTCGAGGCTTTCACAATGTGCTGCGAGGCGCAAGGCCCATTTTCAAGAGACGTCTTTCCATGAGCGGAAGAAGGAACTGTGCAAGGGTCTGAAGTTGTAAGCTGCTACACTCGCCCCATGTCCTGCAGCTGCACCGAACTCGTGCCCTTGACGTGACTCGTGTTGATGCCAGGCTGGTGCCAGAGTCTGCATGCTGCCCCGCACCCCGCACTATGCTTACAACATCTTACAACTTACGTGCAGCTCTGCTGTGAACGCTTGAGTCGGTCGGTTCAGGTAAAAGTACCAGCCACATTCGCCTCCTGCACTGTAAGTCCGATGTCATCCCATGCCCACTCCTTCGTTCTCCACCGAGTCCATGGGCCGCCATGCTTCCTCCAGAGCTTCACTTTGCTAGCAGATACCAGAAGACTCAGAAGGCTCTAGTTCTGCTCGTCTTCCGCACGTTTCGTTGTGGCCGTCCACAGGTGCAGGCTCCGGTCGTAGAATGAAGCTGAAGCTGCCAAGGACATCTGGGACGTCTCCGATGCGAACTGCCAGGAGATGCCATAGCCCAGGGAGCCATGCGCTCCCTCTGGCGCATTAGAGGCATAGGCAGCCAGGAGCTCAAAGCCTGCGCCATCGACACGGAACACGGGAAAGCCACAGCGCATGGCAGCAACTGCCAGAACCCCGTGCCACTGCGGGTGCCATGAGATCTGGTATGCTCCGTCACCCAGCCGAGGCGTCATTGCCAAGGGCTCAGCAGTCAGCTTTCGCAGGTCAAAAAGCCTCAGCCTCTCGTCATAGCTGCCGGTTGCCACCTGCAAAGGCTGGTAAGGGTTGAAGGCCAAGGCCGTGACCCCCGCCTCGTGGCTCCGCCGGTTTCGTAGAGCGGAACTTTCGTCTCTGACATCCCAGGCAGCAAGGTGGCCATCATCTGCACCGGAAAGAATCAAACAAGGCTCGGATGGAGAAACATCCACGCACCAGGCTTCCAGGTCATGCTGCTGCCGCTCCGCCAGCTTCCGGAAGCCTGCGTCCAGCTGAAAGTGGTAGCACTTCCCATCCTGGCCCACAGCTGCTAGTCCTTCGGCCTCCTTCGCGCCCCCAGCTCCGAAGCAAATGTGCGTCAAGATCTGATCGCTGAGCTTGAACGGCTCGTGCAACACGCCTTGCGCCGGTGAGCACAGCCGCACACATCCATCAGCACAGCAAGCCGCCAGCACACCACCTTCAGGGCACCAGGCAAGGTCGTACACGCCGGGGCTTTCGAGGACGGCCGTGCGGAGCAGGGAATACCTGAACAGATCTCTCGATCCCCTAAGGATGTCGGCTTTCAATTTGGGGGTCCTCATTTTCCCCCCCCCCCCCCCCCCCCTTCAGGCGAGTTTGGTCAGGGGCTCAGATGTGAACCAACAAAGTCCCAAAGCAACGAGATGCTGGAAGTCCCCGCGATGCTCCACAGTTGCAAACACCAGCCCTCCCTGACGCTCGTCGGTTTCCTGCACGTGCTCATACCTTGGCTTCAGCTCAGACTCTGCAGATGCCCCGGGGCCTTGTCCTGTGCAACCCTGTGCTCGATTGAAGAAGGGCACGTGCTAGCTGATAGATAGCACGCATGCACGCACCTTAGCACACGCTATCATGCGTTCGGACCTGTCAAGCGGCATACCCCACGCCAAGCAAGCATCATGCCCGGGGGAGAACTCAACGACATCGGGGTAGCAGCCGCAGTCTTCAAAGACTTGGCCCTTCAACTCCACCACGGATCCATCGGCAGCCGGTAGCTGCATGTCCATCTTGAAATTTGGCGATCACAGCCCTGAGCCACGAAAAGGCTGCACACCACTCATGATCGAAACCGAGAGGCCATGACCACACTACGTACGGAAGTGACTGTTCCAAGCTGCGACTGAGAGCCAGGAATCGGAAGCCCTTACGAATGAGGCCGTCAACTCGAAGACCAACTTCCCACTACTCAAAAACCCTGCACTGGCTTCCTGCACTGGCTTGTTTGCAGGAATGAGCTGCAGTCAGAAATTCTGGGGCACGAATGCCCAGAGTGAAAGGACTGCCAAGGCAGAAGGCATCAAGGCCACTCATCGAAGACTCATCCGAAAGAATCACAGTTCTACATGTGTCTGCCAGCAGACACATCACGGAGAGCATTGGCACCAGTCCTTGTAGAGGGACTTGCATGAAAATAGTCATGTGGTCTTGCGCTTCCCTGGGTCTTGGTACTAGCTGCTAGCTGTCCGTTCGCAAAACCAGAGAAACGTCTGCAAGTCCGCCGCCCGTTGCCAGCTGGAAGATGACAGCCCGTCATTTCAGCGCAGCGCTTGAACCTGGTGTCTGCGGCTCCTGGCTTTCATCGCACTATATCCATACGGCCATGTTCATGCCTGCGCCCCTCGTTCAGACACACCGATGAAGTGTGCCAGTGCCCCAGGACCACTGTCGTTGCATGAGGTAGCGATTTGCAAGCTTAGGGTATTGGTCGCACATCTTCATCTCAAACCTCGCAGAGTGTATGGGGAATCAAAAAGCCGCGGAAGCAGCGCACATATAATGAGAATCTTAATGAATCTTAAGAGCCATGGCCATGACGTTTCAACCCTCCGCACACCTCCATATCGCAGAAAGCGTGGGTTGTTCCCATCGCTTCGCCATCTTGTGACGTGCTTCTACCTTGTGGCGAGGCCTGTCAAAAACACGCCAGAATCCTGCAACAGCAGGATTCAAGTGCATCCGCCATATCGTGTCTTCAATGACCTAAGCTTGGTGAGGCTTGAAGGGCAGAGGGATGTGCAAAATCCTGCGAGAAAGACATGGAGAAGCTCACAGCGAAAGCTTTTCAAGTGGCCCCACCAATGTTCAGCAGAATGCTTCGCGACTAAACACAAGTTCGAGGCTAGAAGGTCCTGTGTTGATCATATAACTGTCTGAGTCCGGGGGATTGAGGAGGTTGGATGGGGTTGATTGGGGGGTTGGGGGGGTTTAGGGGTTGGCCAGCTGGGGGTTGGTTGGGGAACTGCTTGGGGGACTGGGCCGGGGGGTTTGCAGGTTGAGGGGGTTGGGGTTGTGGGGTTGCGGAGTTGTGGGGTAGGGGGGGCGCGGGGGGGGGGGTTGGTTGGGCAATCGAGGCCCTCCTGTAGGTAGCATCAAATCCGTCATAGATACAAAAAAAGAGACACGAATTGGGACTCTCAATCTTGCGTCCGGCTGCGGGCTTCTGGGACCTCCACAGCTTGGTTTCATTGTGGCTTAGCCCCAGGAGCCGCGCAACTCGCAGGCTGGCATGAAGAGGTCGGCCCAAGAGCTCGTCATAGTACAAGAGGAGCTTCCTGCCGCCCCACCTGAGAGGAATATTCAACAGATGTGAATATATACATATACATATTTATATGTCTTTTAAAGCTCTCAGGCCCAGCGCTGCCGGGAGAACTTCGAAGCTCAAAAGTAGAATCTCTACCAGGAGTTGGCCCCTGTACCTGTGCCAAAACCAGAGTATATTCATGTAGTTGTGCATCGTCTCATCCACGTCCCCTCCCAACAATGTGACCTTGGTAACATGGTAGCCGTAGTCGCGAAGGATTAAGCCGTAGGCCGAAGCAGTTTCAGGGTGAAGCGATTGTCTGAGCAATATGCTGTGATGTCGGCCTGCAAGTGGTGGACTTTGACAATCCACATGTTTCAGAAGACCGTACTGCTGCCCAGAACTGCAGTATCCTTGATTCTTCCAAGGCGGTTCAAACATGTTGCGAAACGGTCTCCCAGACATTGCTTCCGACATCAAGCCCACCATCCGACTCCCAGAGTTCGGATATGACAGCCACACAGTTATGTTTCTTGGCATGTACTGCTTGGACATGTCCAGCAAATAGCGGAATTGCGCCGCCAAGTTCTCACCGGAGCAATGATGTACAGAAGGATGCGGGCGCATCACCACCAAAGCTGGCCGAATGGGCGGGTATGCCGCTGCCGCGCAACCAGGGCACCCCCACACTCCTGACGCGCCAAGACACGCTCATATTCTGTGACCAAACGCCGAGGCCATTTGACCCGGTGCCCAAGACTCTCCAACCCCAGAAGTAAACAAAACTCGCAGTTCTAAGTAAGGGGGTTCCATGGCCCCGAAAGCAAGCACTACCTGAGATTTATTAACTTTCAGTGTCTAGGGCTATGCTCCAATTTTCTTGCGACAGCAACAGTTTCCCACTTGGGACTTAGGTTTTCACGTCTGCTTCTCTCCTGGACATATGATGTTGTGTTTTCAGGACTTTCGGACGTACTTGTGTGGCACAGGGATCCTCGCAACCCCTTGCAACTCCTTACGTAACCTGCAACACATCCACACTGCGTGGTCTTCGAAACAGGAACAGCGTGCTCTCCTCCGGCCAAACTCTCGCAACTGCTGAACGATGTAGACTGGTAGATGACTGTAGATACACGCATTACTGGTTCCCGCAGTGTAGAGCTCCTCTTTATCAAAGCGCCCCGCCTGCGGAGAAGTTTCCGAAGAATGGCCTGCTCAAGAAGGCAGTCATCTGCCATCCTGCACCAAGGAGGAGCTCTCCGAGTTCTGAAGTTCTCCAAGCTTCTGTTGGTGGATGTTGTTAGGGGGGGGGAAGTCACCCGCCTGTCAAGAAAAAGGCGGTCCAACTGTGCACCAGATTCGACCGGCGAGCAGCGGCGACATGTCGAACTTGGACTTCGTCAGTGCCCGCGTCGAGAAGTAAGCGGTCCTGCGTTTGATCTCATGCGTGGCGCTGGAGTGGAGTCTACCGATGTCAAATTTGCAGTGCACACACCGGACAAGCATGCTTTCGTTTGCCATGGCTTGATCTGGGGAAGTATGATGGCATGGCTTCTCCTGGCGGCCCACGTAGGTCAGAAGCCCATACACCAACTGGGAGTTGTTCACACGGTTCCGGGCATTGCCCCGCAGCCAGTAGTGAAACACCGGCATGAGCAACTGGGAGGGCTCGGGGTAGCCACCATAGTCACCATGTAACACACCGAGTGGAAGCAGAAAGATAGCCTTGAAGCGCTCCCGATCAAGTCGAAGACCGGCATCGAGCTGCAACACGTCCTGGAGCTTTTTCAGGTCTGTAGCGACCTCGGAGGGCTTCACATCGGGGCGCGCGGTCAAACCAGGGATCCTTTTGACCAAGTCGAGGCTGAGGAACATCATCTGGCTCTTCCAGCGTTTGCTGAGCACGGGTGCCAGCCACCTGAGACTGTCGTCCCCACCAACCAGCAGGGCCCTTGAATTCAGGGCGAGCATGTGGTAGTTCTTCGCCTCCAGCGCACACACCACTCGCACGACCTCCACAAGCAGAGCCTGGAAGACAACGCCGAGCCGTCCACGGAGCCACTTGCTACCTGCAGCCTGCATTACCGGAGCAGAACACCCTGCGTAGCCTGTGTATGCGTCTGGCAAGAAAGCCAGAAACAGGGAAGCCAGCAGCTGCTCCTGGGACTGAGCCACTGATGCCGTCCGATTTCGTGGGTTCCGTGGGTTCCGTGGGTTTCGTGAGCTTCGTGAGATGCCGCGCGTCATCTCGAAGGGCAAGAGCCAGTCCATCGATGCGTGCTGCAGCAGGTCCAAGCCGATCCGTGCGCTCGCATCCGAGTCAGAGCCCACACCATCCACACCTGCACCTCTCCCTCCGAGCTTCGAAGCCCAGAAGTGCATCTCGGCACGCAGCTGGCTGGTCTGAATCATGGTCGTGTGGCTTTCGTGGGCCGCGTGGTTTTGCATCATAACGTCCTGGCAACGCCAATTGTCTCGGACGGCCGCGGCCATGCGGCTTCGAATTTGTATTCCGCGCCACACCCCATTGGCCGAGCTCGAGATTGCTCTGGTGGGGCGCCAATGCGCCAGCTGCGTCGATGCAAGCTGCAATGAGGTAGGCTGGAACCTGGCACAAAAGCCGCAGTGCTTGCATTGGGGGGGCAGCTCAAATGGGATGGGCCTCACAGCCCTACATTCCTCATTTAAGTCAAGGGCTGTACTCCCTAAACCCTAAACCCTAAACCCTAAACCCTAAACCCCAAAAGCCCCAAACAAATCCTCCACACGGTTGCAGAAAAGCCGCCTGCATTTCCACCATTGAACCGGCTTCTCGGCACGCGCCACAGCCAGGGCCACCAGGAGGGCCAGCAGCATGGCCGGAAACCAAATAAGAATAACAGTAAGAATAATAAGAATAAGAATAAGAATACGAATAAGAATAAGAATACGAATAAGAATAAGAATAAGGACAAGGATAAGAATAGGAATAAGAATAAGAGTCGTAGTACGAATAATAATGATAGTCGTAATGGTAATAGTAATATACTCGTACTACTATTAAGCCCATCTCAAACACAGCATCCTTTCACGAGCATGCTGTGGGGACTCAAGAACGAAAAAAGCAAGAATCCTCCCGAAGCCCAGATCCTGGAGCCGAACGTCAAATCAACCGAATGACTCCAGGGCTACTTATGATAATTACCACCATGAATCAGTATTATTACTATTCTGATTACTACCATTAACATTATTAGTATTCTTATAGTCAAGGTTCCATAGTAGGAGAGGGGATGAAAGGAAGCTCCTTTCCGCAGCGCCTGGCCCTCGCCGTTGGATTCTTCGGCACTGCGGCTCGCTGTCTCCTGCAAGACAAGCACAGTCGCCGTTTGATGCAAGTTCACTAAGTTGTGATCTGAATAACCCCCCAAGTCTGTCACTTCCAACTCTTGCCCCCGTCCGTGCCTTGGGCTCAGCCGGACGGCTGCCGCCTCCCGAGCGCTTCCCCTGGCGCCAGCGGGATATGTTTGGGGGGGGGTTGCAGGTGCTAGAAACCAGTGGTAGGAAGACGGTTTTGGGCGTTCACTCTCACTGTCTCTCGGCATTCTCATCAAGCAGAGGCTGTCTTCGTCTCCCTTGGTTATCCTTCGCGCCCCTTCTCCCCCAGAACCGTCTGCCCTGCCTCGGAGCTGCTACCCTGGGTGGAGCAGGGAGATGCATGCAATCACAGCGTGGCATTAGCAGTGAGCGTTCTTGCCAACGCAACTGGTATGCACGATAATTCAGTTTGCAGAACCTTTTGCCCGTTTTGGGTGATAATACCACCAGCCTACCACTGACCCACCCATTAGAAGAGCATCCCTATACTCCCCCCTACATCTCACCAATCTTATCACTACTACTTCCTCGAAAGTCACGCATAGGAGTAGCCGATTACCTTGTCCACATGAGAGGATTATTCCTGTACTCCCTACTACAAATCCTACTCTTACCACCACCACCAGTACTTCCCCATTATCAAGACCAGGAGAGGAACAACCAATTACCCCATCCATACTCCCCAAGGTGGTATCATCATCCCAAAGTGGGCAAAGTCGACTGGATTTAGGGTTCAAGGTTGTAATCATAACCTATACTATAATAACATATACTATAATAACATATACTATAATAACATATACTATAATAACATATACTATACTTGTAGCGCAGTGGTATGATCGCACAAAACGGGCAGAGGTTCTGCTGACTAACTCACGGCTGCGCACCTAAAACCAAGCTGGGAGGCGCCACCCCGAGGGTTTAGGGTTTAGGGTTTAGGGGTTGGGGTTCAGGGTTTAGGGTTTAGGGTTTAGGGTTTAGGGTTTAGGGTTTAGGGTTTAGGGTTTAGGGTTTAGGGGTTCAGGGTTTAAGGTTCAGGGTTCAGGGTTCAGGGTTCAGGGTTCAGGGTTCAGGGTTCAGGGTTTAGGGTTTAGGGTTTAGGGTTTGGGGTTTAGGGTTTAGGGTTTAGGGAAAACCCCTGGGCCCGCGGCACCCTTGCCCTTGCGGCCCTTTCCTGCGAAGAGGGGTCCAGGTTGGCCCACGGGGGCTTCGTCAGCTTTTTGGGGGGCTTTTTCTTGACTTCTGAACCCCTCCTAGAAGTTTAACTTCTAGGTTTCTTATGGTGGTTTCTACCAAAACCCAAAAAGTTAAAGTCCTCAGAGCCAGCCAGAAGAAAGCCAAGTTTTGGGCTTGAGGTTTAGAATGCTTTGGGTGTTCTTTTTTGTCGCCCCGGGACACCCTTGGCCCTTGGGCTCTCCTTGTTGTGGCGGCATCGTCCGGGGTTGGGCTCCAGAGTCGACTTCAACCTCGGCAGGGGATCCCAAGCGCCCATGAAGCCTGCTGTGGCACGTGGCATCTGTATCATACAAGGACTTCACACACCCGAGGGGAACCTTTGGAGGGAAAGCCATCGAGGTCCCGGCAGATATAACTAAATGGAAACTTCAAATACGTCTATTTCCTGCTTGAACCCACAAACGTTGCAGAACAATTGCAGAATCTTTCTGGAGCTGGCGATGTTGCAGCTTGAACGCGCACGGTCCGCCATAGTCCGAAGTCTCGTGTTCTTTTTGCGCGCTGTCTTTCCTGGAGGAGGTGCAGTGCAGTCTGTTCGATGGCAGTTGTCACATCACAGGCACGTGCCATTTGCCGCCCCTTCGCGCAGGCACCTGACAGGAAGACTTCAGGACCACAGACAAGGACTTGGCACAAAATCGGCTCGACTGACGATTTCGAACATCTGCCTCTCATATGCCTATTGGCTTGAAGCGTGGCCTGTGATCGCACTGTAGCATTGGACACCAGGAGGCAGCTGCTGCAAACGCAACTGGGTCAGAAGGGCCAACGTCCGCTGCCACAGCCCTGGCAGAGACAACAATCCATCTCCAAAGCTTGTTTCAAGAATCCGGTCGTCACCGAACAGCATGGTGCGAGATGCGAAACGGGCACCTGCACTTTGACAGGACAGGATGGTGGCGTTGAATGCAATGAGGTCGGGCAGCAGCTGCTGCCCTTGCATCTGCTGAAAAAGCGCCAACGCCAGCCTTGCGCCCTAACTCTGCTGGACTGGGGGCGTTGAGGTTTTTAAGCTCAAAGCCCTAAACCTAAAACCTAGATCACGGTTTCGACTGCTGTTGGGACTCTCTTTTCTTTCGTCCCCGCCCCCGCGCACGGGCACCATCGGGCACCTCGATTTGTTTGACTCAAGGTGCAACGATGTGCAACTTACGAATGACCCTGAAACTAATGATGACCTTTGGCCCGAGGATCTAAGTCCGTAGCTTTACCAGTGGGAATCGGAAGGCACGCAATGCTGTGAGCTTTGCAAGGACCCTTCAAACAGTGATACCTCCCGATTTATACACTCATCATAAGCCTTCTATGGCTGAGGAGGGGGCCGGAAGAGTTCAGGAGCTAGGGTGCTGCCTTCAGGGTCCAGAGCACCAGAAGCGGGAGGCCGGAAGGCGGATTTATTTCAGGGGTCCGGACGGCAAGCCGCCTGCCTTCCGGGAGAACGGTCAAACGCAAACGAGCCAATGTCTACTCTCGGGCAACGAGGTGCTGCCACTTGGCGCCCTTCTCGCAGGCGCTGATAGCTGCGCTGTACCTCAGGCTCAAGATCGTGCAACAGCAAGCGAGGCAGACACCCCCAAGCATGCGGGACGCAGATGCCGCCCGTAAAGGGAGGGAGTCAAGCTTGGGATAGACGGTCTTGTTCCCCCCCTTTTAGCAACTGACTTTCATCCAGTCTCTATAAGAACTAGAACAGAGCAATGACAAGAATTCAAATTCTGGCAAAGAGATGAACAACCTGTAACCACTAATAAGCTGACACTGCCCTAACATGGCTACAGTGTGGTGATAATTGGGTTTTGGAGCTCAGTTCTAAATTGGGTAAAAATTGGGTTTAAAAATGTTTAAAAAGTACCATAAAGACCTCCAAGTGCAGACCTCACTTTGGGGGGGCCTCCCCTGAGCCAGGTTGCGTGATCAGGTTCGCTGAGAGCCGCGAGATGGCCAGCTGATCCAGGAGGACCAGGGCCTCAACAGGGTAGTAGTTACATGGTCTCTCAGTGTCTGGGCCCTTAAAGGGGGTACCTCCCCTTAAGTATCCCCTGTAGACCCGAGAGCCTGCTCCAAAATGCCCCCTAAGATCTGGGCCTTGGTACCCGAAGCTGTACAGAAAGGGCCCAATTCAATAATTTTAGTTCAACCCCCCCCCCCCCACGCTCCGAAAGCCCGTCCCGTGAAGGGCGGTTTGTGGGCTTCAGGGATCGCACCCTATAGGGCTTCTGGTGTGTTTAACGGTTGCTTCTTTGGTAGGGGCTTGGGAGTTCAAGACGTGAATTTGTTTATGAGGGAGTTCAGGGCCCTGCCTCCTCCCACTGTTCCGCATTCTCGCATGCGCTGATCGCTGCCGAGTATGTAATAACATCCTCGTGCTGCTTGTGAGAGGGAAGGGGGGGGGGGGGGGCGAGTGGGAAAAAGGAGAGCAGCGATCTTTTCCTGGAGCTGTGGAGCGTTCCGCTCTGAGATGGCACGCAGGCAAACAGATCCATCTATTCATCATATCAAAGAAACTTCTATCGACACAACTCAGCTAAAGAGCGGCAGAGACCAGCGAGTGGATCATCTGTGATAGTAGAGCCAAGGCTGCATGCCATTGCCCTCAGTGCGCAGTGCCCAAGCATGATGCATGCAACAAATCTCTGAGGCAAGCAAGTGCAAACAGATACTGGAACTGAGCACTGAGGGACTGAGGGTACTCATTTCAGTTGGGCCACCGCACTTCTCGCAAGAGCTGATGGCGGCATTGTATGCCACGATGTCCCGCCGAAGTCCTGCGGCTTGTGGGATGTTCCAAGCACGCTTGCGGTTCAGGGATCCTTTTTTTTGTCTGGGCACGCCCTGACCAGACCCAACGAGGTGTCCTGCAAAGTCCACCTCTGCGAGCAACTGCAGGGCCCGTTGCCACTGACCCCCCTGGCAAGCTTTCCAGGCATGACGGTGATCCTGAAGCATCATGACATAGCATCAGACCTCAGGGCCCTTGGAGTCTGACACATCGCGAAGCACCCCAAGCCACCGTGCCTTCTCAAATGCAGTGATCGCCGCCTTGCTATGCTTCGGTACATGCAGGCCGCTGGGTCAGATCACAGTGCAATATCAAGATCAAGGGGCTGGGGAACCACAAGAGATCATGGACCCTAGCCACAGAGCCTGTCACGTTCACATCCGAGAATCCGTTGATGTCCGGAAAATTTGGCCGGGCGACATTGTAGGTGACGGTCTGCGAGGTCAGCGACTCGCTCCTGACACGCCAACGGTGCCATTCCCTACACCGGCTCCAAACCCATGAAACCCCATTTAGGGTTTAGGGCTTAGGGTTCGGGATTAGGGTTTAAGGTTTAGGGTTTTTGGTTTAGGGTTTAGGGTATCAAACCCCGAAAATGTTGGAACAAAAGCACTTGCTGTTGACTCCCCCCTCCCCCTTCACCTTGCCTAAAAAAGCAGCGGGCATTGCCTTCGCCTAACATGTCGGAGCCGTCGTCATACAACGATGTTTGCACGCATACACACAAAACTCATATAGCCACAACCCTAAACCCTCCCCGAACCTGAAACATCGTAGTCTTCAACCATCTTCACCATCAAGGCCCCTCAACCCACCTGAATCCCAACACCCGCAAAAAACGTGGCCGCGGCTCTGGAGTTGGTCCAGCAGCCGCAGGGCCTGCTGCCACTGCTCCTGCGCCGCACATGCGCTCATGACCTGGGTTTTGGGTTTAGGGTTTAGGATTTTGGGTTTAGGGTTTAGGGTTTAGAGTTTAGGGTTTTGGGTTTAGGGTTTAGGGTTTAGGGTCTAGGGTTTAGATGGGTTGAATTGGGGTTTGGGGTTGAGGGTCTAGGGTCCTTAGGGTCTTTGGGGTCCTTCGGGCTTAGGGAGTTCGATGGTTTCGGCGGGCTAACTGCGGCTTCTGGTTGCCAGGTTCTTGTTGGGTTTTCCTGCTTCGGGCTTAGGATTTGGGCGTGTTTGGTGGTTTTGGGGCTTAGAGAAAAAGGTTTCTAGCGAAGCCCTCTGCTGCGTTCAAGGAGAAGAAGAAGACATCTCATCCTACTCTCCATTTTCGGGCCGACGAGCTTTTGGGCGTTTGTAAGCCTCTTGGAGTGTAACCAGACTTGTCAACACGCTTCACAGGGCCTACGTCTTCCACAGATGCTTTCAAGCACTTTGCTGATCACGCTTGGGCTTGGACCCCGCTGGGGAACAAACAACCACTACACCATACTACATCTCAATCTCTGCAACGCCCCCCCGCCGCCCCGCCGCATCAGCACGATCTCCCCGAGCCCCAACCCATCAGTGTAAGCAACTTGCAACCCGCAATCTGGCCTAACATGCTGCAACCCAGATGCAGAGTTGAAAGCGAAGATGTTGGGCAAGACGCTGAACTCCGGCATGCGAGCTAGAAGCTCCTGCGTCGCAGCAGAAGAAGAATGTCGCAGAGCTCCGATGCCCTCAAAGTACCTCCTCTACAGACTTGCCAGACCCTCGACGCCCCGTCTCTCCAGCGCCGTGCGCCAGCGGCCGCCCTTCTCCAGCGCGCTGATGGCTGCGCTGAGAGACACGACGTCGGGCAGCAGCTCCGCGGCTGCCATTGCCTTTCCACGCTCTGCGAGACTACCCCGGCACGGGTCAGTATTAGATTCCGCTCTCTTGCTGGGAACTTCTGGCGTCGCACCAGTCCTTGTACGTGAAGCAGCCCCATGCACAAAAAAAACAAATCAAAAAGTCACAGAACGTCGCGCAACCGGCTCCTCGAGCCGAGACACGTCCAGGAGCTGAAGAGCTTCACGCCACCTTGTGAGCCAAGGAAGGAAGTTGAAGGGAGATGCGTGCTTTGTCCAGGTGTAGGGAAGGGTGAAACCTCCAAACATGTTTGTTGCAAGTGTCTCATGGTAGTTCCTCTTGACTCTGTACCCTTTCTCAGAAGTCACCCCTCCTACAGTCATTGGTCCTCCTGCAAGATTACTCCCCCCCCCCCCCTTGGCCTGGCTGCCTTCTCGCAAGCGCTGATGGCGGCGTTGAAGGAGATCCTCGGGGCTTCGCGTAGGGCTTCGGAGCCTCCAAAGGGTCTTGAGGTTTGGTCCTGGGGGGGGGGGGGGAGACGTACGTGGATGTGGGTAACAAACTCCTGATGGCCTCGTCCATCACCAGTATCTGTTGGATGGTGCGGGTCTGGGAGTGCGCTCCGCAGCCCACATGTAATCAAGGCGTGCCGTTGTGGCTGATATCAACGTGGGCGAAAAGGAGTCTTTTGCAAGGGTGCAGCGCATGCATGACCATACCCGCTACGAACTGAACGCAAGATGACCAACACGTCCTCATTGCAAGTTTGCTCCGCAGTACTTCAAAGTCCGACCAGTTCCCAGCTCAACCGGTTGATTGCATGCTGAGCAGCTGCGCACATCTGAGAATCGATGGACATTGACAGCAGAAATCACATGTCCTAACCTCCGAAAACTTTCCATGACATGCCATGACTTGGCCGGCCTTCCTCCCTTCCCTGCCCTTTGCCGAAAAACATGTCCAAACACCTAAGAAGCCTCTCAAAGCCCTGGGAAGAAGTTCGGCTCCGAGGCACACATCGGCTGTGAGGCGGTAGCTGGCCATGGACGACAGCACTGCCAAGCCTATTTCCAGGGCAGGGGAGAATCATGGCAACAGACTCTCCGTGCACACCGTTCGCGAACGAAAAGGAAAACAAAGCTGGTCTTGAAAAACCTGTTGTTGTAACGTAACGAAATCGTCGTGGGGCGTCAACCGCCGCAGCATCCGAGAATGCAATTTGTCACGGGACTCTCCGCAGAATTCTCTGTGGGTGGGCACTCCAGGGATACTCGGCCGGACTCTTGCGGGATTCTTAGAGGTGGGAACTGCAAGCAAAAGGAGGGCTCTGCATGCCGTTGCGAGACGCTGTACACTGTTCAATTACTTGAACCAGCCAATGTGCCAACATCGCCGGGCATAAGCTTTTGTAGAGCATTGGCTGGGACGAGATTCATGATGAGCCGTGTCACCCGTTTCTCGCCCAGGGCGGGTTCCAAGCTCTTTTCCACAGCAAACACCCATTGAGGACAGGATGTTTATACACGTGGAAAACGTCCTCTAATGCGATCGGTTCAATGATGCCCTTACGATATAGCACCTCACGATGCGCTCCCATTCAGAGTGAGTCAGGTTCACGGATGCTGATGGTAACGGACGTGGCCAGGACTCTGGACTTAGCATGGCATAGGATCACGGCTATGGCGGATCAAGGGCAAAGTGTATGGGGGCAAAGGTCGGCGGCCTGCTCCCAACATCTCAACTAGCTGCACACCCTGCGCACCTACCCGCAACCCGAATTTCACCACAGGTCCCTCGGAGGCCTTCTTGCCACCTGCCACTTTTCTCGCAGGCACTTACGGCTGCGTTGAAGGAGATGACATCCTCGAGCCAGGCGAGTTTGGGCTGCGTAGCTCTTAAAATGAGTTCAACTCCTCATTCTTCGGGCCATGCGAGGGCTTTGAGGTTCCAACTCCACAAAAGCCCAAACACAACCAACCATCCACAACCAACCCCAATGTGCCAAAGCAGGCTCCGGGCCGACGGCATCGGCCATGGCGAGCAGAGCCAGACCTGGCAAGAGAGGCTTTCAGTCTCAGGAGCCGCTGGAGATTCGGGTGGGAGGAAAAAGGCGGGGGGGTGGGGGGGGGGGATAAGGGAGGGAGAAGGGGGGGGGAAGTTGGGGGGAGGGGGTGGATGAAGCAGGGTCTTCGGATTTGCCCTGACTCTCTGCTTTGCTTTTGGGCTGTTGGACATGCGCACCGGCCTGCTTCCCAGCATGCCCCCTTCTCGCAGGAGCTGATAGAAGCATTGAAGGTGATCAAGTCGGGATCTACACGGACAGCGTACATCTGATGCACCTCCCACGAGGTCGCAACGATGTGCATCATGACATGGCGTGCCACTCTAGGCAAAAAAGGCTCAGATATTCTTGCCGCTGACATGGAAGGCCACCCAAGACTTCCCAGAACAGCCGCAAATATGGCAGTTCCGTTTGAGGAAACGATTGTGTTTTGCTTCTTGAGATCGTTCTCAAAGAACAGCTTTGGCCTGCCGAAGACCATCTTCCCACTTCTCCGCCTTTTCGTACGCGCTGATCCTGAGGGCAGCACACGCACAGCCCAAGCCAGGCCCAGCGCAGCATGCTGCGCAGCGAATGCGCCGAAAACCTCTGAAATCCTCTGCAACCCTCTGAAACCCCCTGAAACCTCCTGATCCCCCCTGAAACCCTTTGAAAGCCTCTGAAACCCTCAGCCACGTCTCACCGAGTTCCAGGACACCAGCGAGGCTTCGAGCCCCAGCGCCCGGAGAACGGCTAGGCCGGCCAGCACCTGGCGGGGCTTTTGCAGCTCGTGGTCTTTCATTTTTTTAAGGTCCCCAAACAAAATACATTTAGGTGTTTCTATGTGTGTATATATAGATATATATATATATACCAGATATACATATTGAATGTATGTCTATGCAACGGGGAAGGGGGGGGAGGGGGAGGGCGGAGGGGTGGAGGAGGGCAAGGGGGAGGGGGGGAGGGGGGGGAGGGCCGGGGAGAGTGGGGGGGGGGCGGGGGTGGAAGAAAACACATAGTGGCTCAAGAGCCCGGATGACCGAATGTGAGGCTATGCGGCTGCGTCTTGAAATAAGCTCGTTCATAATAACCTATTGAACACTTCTAGCAGCCTAACAAAGAAAAACTACACCAGATCACTTTTAAACAGCTAAGTACTGAGCTCGCCTTGCCGCCAACAGTACGTGTGAAACGCAATACATCCAAGGTAGCACATGCTAATGCACTTTCTTGACTTTGGAACAGAATGCTGATGTGTGCTGTATGGCGGGTGTCAGCATCTCAAGCAGAAGCACTAAACCGGAAAAAATGGAAAGCAAAAATAAAAATTACCGAAGAAGCTCTGCTACTGGATCTGTGAGTGGGCGAATTCTCAAAAGTTCCACGAATGTCCATGCTGTGTAGCCCGCTTACATGTCCTACTATCATTCCAACACCCAATTGCTTCATAGCAGCTTGTGCTTGGGGCGATGCCCTGGAAACTATACCACGCTAAACCCCGAAACCCTAAACCAAACTTTCGCCACGGACAGCCAGAGGCCTTGAAAAACCCAAAGCTCTGACCAAACCCTCAAACCGCAATGTTGAATGTCGCCTGCTGCCACTCGCCGCCTGACTCGAGGAACACTTCATATTCACATTCTCCAAAACAGTATCTTCTGCCAGAAGCCTCTCTTGCTTTACCCAACATTCTGCACGTGATGGGGGCTTGAGATTCTAGGTTTTGGGCAACCCGCTGGTTCAGCACTCGGGACCTGCAATCCTTCCGTGGGAGGCCATCGGTTGGGGTTCCGCTTGCTTGGCACCGCTCCCTGCATCTGTTCCCCTGGCCCTCGGTCTCGGCCCCTGATCTCTGAAATCTCACCGTCTCTCGCCCTAGCCCACGGAGTTCGGAGCTTCACCCCAATGTCGGCCCAAAAATGGTACCGCCACGGCCTCGCTGGCACGCGCGCATCGATGCATTGAAGACCACCACATCTGCTTCGATGCTTTTGCTCCTCCTGAGATGCACCACACAGAGTTTCCCACCTGCTGAATGAAGGGTTGCTCATAAAGTGGCAGACCCCGGATTTCACAAGCCTGTCCATGGTTGTGATCCACAGATCTCAGCCACGTTGACTATAGGGGCCCCATCCGTTGACAAGTGGCTCTGAATTTAACAAGAAACTTCGAATATTTCCAAGCTTTTTTTTCACCAAATGCCTGCAAGATCTTTGCTATGTATGCTGAGGCGTTTACTAAGTTATTTATTGAACAAACAAAGAACGCGCAGCACTCGCACTCTTCCCAGCTGCTTCTGCAATGCACACCTTTCGTCGCAACTTCCGACGCATGTTGAGATGGTATGTCTCCATTGGAATAACCAGCTCCACGACTCCAGAACTGTGCTTTAGGGCCATACTTTGAGCTATCCGTGAGGTTCTGTTCGTTACCCTTGCCGAAACCTAGACCATGAGCCCTCTCTGCCAGGCCACAGCGCTCGCACGTAGGTCCAGGCCTGCTGCCACTGGCCTCACAGCAGCGCTCGGAAGCATCTCTACTTTGGGTTGCCGGCTGGGTGCACCAAGCTCAATGATGCCCGATGTCTACGTAGGGTTACCATGACCAACATGGGCCAGCAAGTCCTAAACGCGACACGTGCGATGCAAATGGAATGCACATGCAATTCAAGCAGAGTACGATGTACATGTAAGGTACAAAAAATGATGTGGTGCAACAAATGTAAACGCAGCAAGCGTCCTAATCAAACGCAGTGAAACTGCAAACGCAATGAAGGTCGAGCGCAACGCCAGCAACGTAACGATATAATGTGTGTGTGTGAGTGTGGGTGCACGGCTGTGTGCTCTATAGAGGGGGTGGTCTTATGTCGGTGGACCATCGGCATGACATCAACCCGCTTCCGATGCCAACGAGGGACTTCGTTCGCCCAAGTCCTTGAGCGCATCCTTGTGTGGACGGAGTAGGTCCCACTGGCCTTGCATTGCCGCGTGTGTTGTGCCACTCTGGAGCGTACAAGAGCTGGCCAAGACACGCTTGAGCTGGAGCCATCCTGGGTCCTTCCTGCCACGGCAAGCTGACAGATCTTTCCATGCGCAGATCCCACCACGGACAGCTGCACATCACTTGCGGACTCACTTGCGCAAGCTGAGTGTTAGAAACTTGAAGACATGCCTGCATATTTTACAGACTAACAGATTGACTGGAGCATATTGAGTAGATGAAGAAGTGCTGAAATGGAGATAGTGGAGAAGAGGTGGGTAGTTCAAGAAACAGTTTGGCTTGGCCAGCTTGGCTCAACCTGGCTCAGATTGGCTCAGCTTGGTTCGGTGGAGGAAGGCTTCGGGGAAGGGCCGCCGGCCCTGAAGCTATCGAGGCGTGGCAATTGCATCTGGCGCTGCCCAACCGCATTTGCATGTCCAGCCGGCCTGCGACATACATCCATGCGCACTTCGCCACGTCGCAGCGGCCGTGGCAGTGGCAGGTCTACGGGCAAGGTCCATGGCTGACGACATCAAGACAGCCAGCCCTTCTCCAATCCCCAAGCAGCTGCCCAAGCATGAGTCTGTTGTTCTGCAGACAGTATGCCCCCTTTGGCATTGGCCCAAAAGTCCAAGAGCCCCCCTCGTCGCTGTTGCACGTGGCCTTGCTGGAGCCCAAAGGCTGCAGCAAAGTGTCACAGCAGCAGAGGAAGCTGGGAGGCTTGATGCCTTGGGAAACGGAAGAGACGTGGAAATATTTATGCCTTGCGCAAGTGCACTGGCTTCTGCATGTCCCAGTCTCCCTAGGCATTTTCGCAAGATTTGCTCTGCAAACTCCCCCATTGCAGCATCAGGCACTCTGAATGACAGCATTCCTCCGAAGTTCACTTCCCCAAAGAACTTCTTCCCGACCAATCAGGAGAGACCCTGCCGCAAAGCGGAGAGGCGGCTGCGAGCTCGCCTCCACGACTCGATGCACTGCACTACGTCGTTGAATGTCGGTAATACATCTTGTATCATCTTGTAACTCATGTAAACATATCGCCAGATATCATACCAAAATTGATATACTCTGGTGAGAAACCATGATATGACCTCACGAAACCGTTCTCAAGATAACGCACAGTAATCTACAAGTCACTCTCCCTAAGATCCAGTTGGGAGCCGGTCAAGGCGAGAGTCCATGCAACCCCCCCCCCCGGCACAGGAGCCTTCCCGCTAGCCCTGGACCCCTGAAAGCATCAGCCCAAGCATCTCGGCCTCAGCAACGAGCTCGGGGTGTCCTGTGCCAGGACCAGAAAGAAACCAAAGAAAATAATGATTTATGTATATATTTCTATATAGACATATATATATATATACATACACGTATATATATATATATGTAAGGTTAAAGTACCGACCCCCGGATCCTAATACATGCATGTAATGACCCTGACAGTCTTTGCAACCATCGACCCAACTAAAGCAAGCACCGGAGAGATGGGAAAAAAAGGGCCTCGGCGGTGGCCTCTGCGGGACTGCTGTGGGAACGGTCCAGCCGCTTCGAGGGCGGGGTGCCGAGTTCCAGAGAGCTGCTTTGGAATTCCTCCAAGAGTGAATCCAAGCGACTTTGCCGCTCTTCCAGCTGCCTCATACTCTGCTTCACGCCACTTGCCTGGGAAGGCTGCGACACCAAGCCCGGTCTGGGATCCTCCGTTTTCAAAGTCTTTGCCGCTCTCTCCGGTCGGTTTCGGTGGCCTTCGCCCACAAGGTTTGGCACTCGGCACAGGGCCTCGATACGCCCCTTGACTGTCTGCGCGACTTCCTCGGCCAGCATGCGCCGCTTCGGGGAGTCATCCACCGTCACCATAGGCCGCGGTCCTTCAACCACGGCACCTGTGACCGTTGCGGCTGGAGCTGGGTGTCCCGGCTCTTCACACGGCCATGCGGCTTGTGCTTGCGCCTCCTTCCAGAGTGAGCGGAGTGGGACATCTTCGGGCACTCGAACCTCACAGGGAAAATCAGGGAAGTGCAAGGAACACCAGTTACGTAAATGTGAACTACATACAGGATTTACCTGCTTACCGTTTGTCTCGCTATGTCCATGTGATGCGGCCCCGTAAACATCTCGAGCAGATGGAGTGTGAATACGTATCGAGCAAGCTCAAGTACACACACACACACACACACACACTCATTTTGTCCCTACACCAAGATCCCGGCAGGTGGCTTCGTTGCTCTGTCGCTGTCCTGACACCTTCCTGCCGGAGAGAAGTTGAAGTCAAAAGCATGGCGACAGCATCCCAAGCACGTGCGCCATTCTACTTTGAGCGTACCTCGGAACGCCAAAAGCTGCTCTAGCTTGTCCACGCGCGCGTCGATGCCAGGCATCCCTGTCGACGAGGTTGACTGAAGACGCTTGCACAAGCTTAGCAACACAGACCGGATTGCGCGAGGAGAGCCTTGGTCCTCTGCCGTTTGGGGAGCAGGCGCGCTCTGAGAGATCCTCAGGGAGCATGTTCTTGCGGAAGAAGCGCAAGAAATGTCTCTGCACCTTTGTGAAGGTCTGGGGTCCAAGCTCCAGGTTGGGCGATGAAGCCAAGCTTTCGGGGTACCTGCATTGCAGAACGGCTCATGGTAGCTCAAGGTAGGGGATGGTAGGGGTTTGTTGGTGGCTGTTGGGAATCGCCCCTTGAAGGCCCCCCTTGAACATGGAACATGCCCCAACCAGAGCCAGGAAGACTCAAAATCGGTCGGCTCCAGGGACACGCGGCGTCGGACTGGTTGTCTGAGAGCCGCAAGGGCTGTGCGTCACGTCCTCTTGCGCGCACTCACCAGACTATATATACAGAGACAAAGATCAAAAGAGAAGGATTGATGGGCAGTGAAGGCAGTAGTTGGTCCTCCTCGCAACTTGTCCAGGCAAGCGGTCAGTTCCTGCTCCTGTTGCCGGAGCAACTGCTCCGTCTGGTCTGTGATGCTTCCGCTTCGCCGTTCACCAAGTCCGAAATCCTCCACTGCCCTCATTGGTGTGTCTGGGAAGACTTCTGTAGGTGCAGGCGGCTGCTTTGTGGCGGCTTTGTACGAGCTCAGCTTCGGTGGCTTTGCTGGCTCTGGTATGGAAGGCATATCGGAGGCCGGGTACGTTTGAGCTGCGCCGGGAAGGCTTTGCAGGTGGCCTTTCAAGGTGTCCACCAGTGTGAGAATTAGCGTTTGCGCACTCGGTGTGCTCCGATTCCTCTCAAGCTCGGTGGACATACCCAGCTGCTGCCGCATCTCCCCCAGCCAAGCTGCAGACTCCTCTCTGAAGCGGCCAGCAGACAGGCGCAGCCTGGCACACAAATCCCTCAGCTCAGAGGGAACGCCCGAAGAATCGCCTGCATCTAGACACTTCAACGACTGCCCAAGGAGATGGATGAGCTCAGACTCGCAGGCAGAGGCATCCAGACGGGACATGGCCGGGCTGTCGCGAGCTGGCTCCGGCCTTTGTGTGAGGCATTGTCGGAGTTGGCCGGCCATCTGCGACTTCAGCTGCAGGCGGCCCGTCAACTTGGAGCAATGGGCCTCTTCTGCCTCGAGGGATGCACGCAGCTTCTCACGCTCGGCCTGCGCTGCTGCGAGCTCCTGCCTCTGCGCCTCCACCAGCTTCGTGAGCTGGGCCTCCTCTTCGGCGAGCTGTGCCAGCGCCTCACGGCGCCCATCCGCCTGACTCCGGATCTGCGCCCGCGACTGCTCCAGGCCTTGTAGAAGCTGGGACTCCTGGCGCAGAGCTTCCTGAAGGGCCTCCAGGGCTTCCAGCTGCGATGCCTCGGGTGTCGTTCTTGTCGTGCTTGCAGCCAGCGCCGACCCCTGTTCCGAAGACCAGTCCGGCTTTTGGAGTGCTTGCGTCGCTGCTCGAGCTCGCTGCTCGGGGGATTCGGCCAAGACTTGCAGACCGCCGCGCTCAACGGAAATGGTGCTCAACAGCTGTTCTGCCGAGCCCTTTTGAGGAGGCAGCGGCCGCAGGATCCCTTCAGGTCCTTCCAAAGGACTCAGCCATGGAGGGCTTTGCTTCTTGCCCCTCTCTGCAAGGATCCTCTTCTGCAACGGCCCCACGGACTCTGTCACCTGGCAGCTTTCCAAGGAGAATCGCTAGAATTTCATAGAATTTCCCTTGAAACACCATGTCAGGTGACGGCATCGTCTGCTTCACGTGGCCTCCTTCCAAGTTGAAGAACTTGGCTTGCACGCCGAGTGTGGCACCACGTTCTCCTGAGAAATACTGTGGGCTCATCAGAGAATTCAGAGTCGGCCGTTTACCGATTTGCAGCTGCTGTTTCCCAGACCCGACAGAAGAGCGGGCCCCTTTGTGAGAAGTACGAAACGCGAGAGCCGAGCCTTGCCATTGAAGTCGCCCGCTCCATGTGCAACCGGCACCCCGGGCGCCTGGCCTCGCCGAGATTTCAGCTCCACTATGGAACTCTGCCGCTTCAGCCGCTTTGTGTTGTTCCCACCCAACAAAAAGCCCTGAACAGCCCTGAACAGCCCGTGAACAGCCCTGCCTCCTTTCGATGGGCCCTGCTGCAGGGCTCTCGCGAAGCCTTCAGCGGCCTCGCGGCTACCGTCGGAGAGGCAGAGACGGAAGCACATGGAGGCAAGCAACAGCCCCCGCGCATCGTGAGCATGAGAAAGCATCGATTCCCAGCAGGGCTCCAGAGTCCGCACAGCAAAGCTCCGGGTAGCTTTGCTATGCAGCCTTCATGATCCATCATGTTCCATCGTGTTCCAGGACGCCCCAGAAGATAAACACCAGTTGTCGGCGAAGGGCTCAGAATTGAAAGTAGCATCTCAGATGTATTCACACGCACCACGATGACTACAAACTGACCGAAAAAACCTCTTCTGACACAGCCCCCGAAGCCTCGCCCTGCGCCACCGCGTTGCAGAGCTGCCGACAGCGGAGCTCGAGGGCCTCGGCATGCGCATGCGAACGAAAAGGAACCTTAGACTAACTTCGACTTAGACGTCAGGCATCCCCAACATGAGCCTATAGGATGAGTCAGTCAAAAAACACGGTCTGCGCATGATGACGAGGCCTGCAAGGCCTCTCCGTCAAACGCCTCCATGCAGCGCACGGCCCAGCATGGTTCAGAACGGCAGACGCAACCAATCTGGTTTTGGAGGCCAAGACGAAACATGTTTCAGGCTTTGCAGTCTTCCTACATTGACGCGACTGTTCGCTTCTCGCAATGATGTCCTCGTCCTTCGCCTGCTGCCGTTGTTCTTATTATTCGTCCGCGCTCACCCACATGCCCCATGCGCATATGAATGACAACATGTCCATCTGAGTTCATGCCCATGACGAGTGCACGAAGCATGGCCAAGCACGGGGCTTTGGCTTGGGGTTCTCTTTGCCAAGAATGGCTTGAGGCCGGAAGCGCAGTAGCGAAAGTGTTCGGACAGCAGTTCCAAGTTCCTGCTCAGACCGTTCACCTTACCTTCGTGGTGTCATTTGCCGGGTGTGTTTCAGCGAGCATGCAATACAAGCACCTTCTGACAAGCGTAGACCCCAAAGGGTGCCACTTCACAGCCCAAAAGCGACAGCAGTTCTTCTCACAAGACGCAAAAGCGCACGGGGGACCCCGGGGAGCGGATCGTAGAACGGACTCACGATTCAAAGCCGGAGGTCTGTCCCTGCCACCCTGCCACGTTGCGGGGAGATGCGGGGAGCGATGCAAAAGCCGCAAAGCAAGGTCAACCCTAAACCCAGGATCCGCAAACCCAGCCCAGTTGTTGCCCCATCCTCGCAACCCCCGTCGGACCATCATGCACCCGGCCACCTGTACAAGCCGTCACTTTGAGCATACTTCAAGGCACCCTCGGTCTCCAAGGTTCCGAAACCTTCCCTCACGATGTGTGAACACGGATGCTTGCAAGTTCCTAGGACTGCTGGCATACGGTGACCGTACATTGAAATGAGGAGGAAGGAGGGATTGAGGGATTGGAGAAAAAGATAGAGGTGTATTGTGAATCTTGTGCGTCTCCCATTGCGAGCTGGTGATGAAATTGGGTGAGGGGATGGAAAAACGTGGTCGAAACCCACCCGGGGAAGTCAATCTGTGCAAGAGTCTCTCATACAGTACGAAACGACGTCCAAGCTTGCTGGCGTTTTGGTGCTTCGTGCCTGGCGATGCCAACAAGCGCAGTGGGCGCAGCTCAGTGTGCAAGATCTCAAGGAAGGTGGGATACAGTCAACCAATCCTGAAGCTCTTGCCTTCAGCCTCCGCCTCCTTCAACCTCCCCCACCCCAACCTCAAATACAATGCAACCTCAAGTTAATGCTGAACTCCGCAACTACATTGCACCCTGAGTGCCCATATAGTTTCGTCGCCTTGGGCGACGATCTATGAAGGTCTATCTGAGAGTCGATCTTCCGCAAAGTCGATGGGAAGCAACTTTCTGAAGAGGTCGTGCTCGAAAGAACTCGAGCACATGGGTTCCACTAACTGATGACTTAATCATCTTCGGGTCGCCTCCCACCTCTAAGCAATTAAACTCGGCCGCAGGTGAAGCCTAGAGTCGCGGCCAACTGCGCTAGCCAAAAATGACGCCAGACATGTTGCCCCATGTCGATTCCTCTAGCTATCCATTGAAAGACTTCATAGCTGCACCCTTTCGTGCAAGAAATGGCAAAAGTTTCGGGTGATGATCTTGAACCTTCAGTCTTGAAACTCCCGTCATTTCTGATCCGGCAGGCCAGCACAACTGTGCACATCACGCTTCATCTGCTATTCAGCTTGCGAGCAGCCAGCACGCTCCTGCAGGAGAAATGAGATGCTGTGGACCATCATGCAATGCCACACTGTTGGTTCTGTCTCTTGCGGAATTGGGCTCCCCACCCAGTGAAGAATCCTCCATTGGGCTGGCGGTCTTGCTCCATCACTTGGCTGAGGCAAGGGTTGGAGTACCTCAGGAAGGCTCGCGAAGGCGGACCTTAGCAATACTGACGAGGCGTCAGTTCACAGAGGGCAGACAAGAGAGACGACACGCCAGATCAGAGAGGGACAGAGAAAGAGAGAGAAGGAGAGAGCGAGAGAGAGCGGGAAGAAAGAGAGAAAGAGGGAGAGAGAGCGAGCGAGCCAGAGAGCGAGAGAGCAAGAGAGCGAGAGAGCGAGACAGGAAGAAACATGAAAGGAGTGGAGGTGGACCGAGCAATCAAAACGGATGGAGCGCAATGAGGAATCAGAATAATTCCTCAACAGCCTCCTACATCTCAAAGCTTCAAGGCCTCAAAGGCTCTTCAAGGCGCACGGACCTGTTGACTGAGCTTTGCGCGGATCTCACGCTCACCCGGCAACGCGGAGTCGCACTCGTCGGCACCTGCAAGCCCCTTCTGTGGCTACCTCCCAACATATATAAGGGGGGGGGGGGGGGGTGGTACCTCTAAGCTACACCCGAAGCATGTCAACATCCTGCTTCTAGGACCCCCCCAAACTGGGGGTTCCTTTTTGGGGCTATCTTTTGCATGCTTGGAGGGCATTTCTCAAAATGGCGGACCCCCTTATGCACCAAGCATCCTATGAAAAAAACCCCAAAAGGGCTCTCTTAATCTCAGAAACCCCCATGTAGCGCGAAATCGTTCGCTGCGTCTCTGGCTGTAACATGAGACGATGGACTTTGCCAATGGGAGGCCAGCGTCTGGCCTGAGGCCAGACAGGCCAGTACGTTTTTAATCGTTGGAGTGGGCACCGCGAATGCTAACTCGGCAGGAACAGTGGGTGCCCACTCGGGTCAAACAACAAAAATGCGTGCTCAACTGGTGTTCAGGAGCCTGCTGTGGAACTGTGGAACTGCAGGTCGGAACAAAATATGCAGAATCATTGGCGGTCACTCGCCGTACGCTCGGTGCACGCGCCTCCTGCGCTGCCCACCCAGTCGCTTGCGGACGGTGCTGCTATCACCACCGAAGCTTTCGCTGCCCCAAGTTACAACCTGGCCATCTCCGAGGATCGCTGCAAAAGCCCCCCTAGTGGCCTGGATCTTCCAGACGCCTCTCAGCCGCCGTTGGACAGCACTGCTGTCCCCACCTGCGTGGGGTGCACCCCAGGTTACGACAGATCCATCGTCACGCAAGGCAGCAAAGGCCGCCCCCGTGGCACGAACCTGTCGTATGCCCCGCAACTTTTGCTGGACCATGCTGCTGTCACCACCACAGAACGAGCTGCCCCAAGTCACAACACGGTCATCACAGCCCGTGCAAGTCGGCTCAGTTGAAACGATCGCAGCAAAAGCTCCGCTAGAAGCACAAATCTCCCTCACCTCCCGCAGATGCTTCTGCACCGAGGAGCTGTCCCCTCCGCTCCCAGGACTCCCCCATGTCACAACGGAGCCATCACCCCGCAAAGCAGCAAAAGCTTCCTGCGCGGCCTGGATTTCCTGAACGTCTCTGAGCTGGTGGCACACATGGGCGCTGCAGCCTCCCGCCTGGGAACTGCCCCAAGTAACCACCGACCCATCTGAGAGGACAGCTGCAAATGCAGACCCACTTGCTTGGATCTGCTGCACATTCTTGAGCTTCTTCTTCACACTGCAGCTGTCACCCCCGTAAGAAGAATGGCCCCAAGTGACAACGGATCCATCGACAGTCACGGCAGCAAAAGCCGCTCCAGAAGATCGAATGAAGCGTATGTTCTTCAGCTTCTCTTGCACAGCAGAGCTGTCCCCACCGTAAACTGGGTTGCCCCAGGTCACCACCGAGCCATCCAACATCATTGCGGCAAAGGCAGAGCTGGACGCCTGAAGCTGCTTCACTCCACAGGTGCCGTCGAGCTTTGCCCTCACGGCTGTACTGTCACCTCCGTACCCTGGATCGCCCCAGGTCACGGCGGAGCCGTCTTCCAAGATGGCAGCAAAGGCGCCGTGGGTCGCCTGGATCTTCTTCACGTTGTTCAGCCTTCCCTGTACCATGCTGCTGTCACCACCGTAGCAGGGGTGGCCCCAAGCAACGACGGAGCCATTCTGCAGAATGGCAGCGAAGGCCTCATGACTGGATTGAATGGCGCGCACGTTCTGGAGCAGCTGCTGGATGTCGCTGCAGTCGCCACCGTGCTTGGGACTCCCCCATGCTACAACGGAGCCATCGCCAAGCACGGCAGCAAAAGCACGCTGCGATGCTGCGATGCAAACCTCTCGAATCAGCAGAGTCAACGTACCTCCGTGCTGCAGACCGGCTTGGTTGACATTCATCGCTCCCTGCAGAATGTCTCCGGAACTGCTCAACAGAAAGCCTGAGTTCACACACAGCATTCGCTGTGCCTTATTCTTGAGCTTTTCAATGGAGGTGTCCGGTTCAGCAGTGAGCTGCGCACGCTTGCCATTCAACAGGGCCACTTCAAGGCAGATGGGCATGATGCCCGCATCTGCCCAACACGGGGAAAACAATCGCACCTGTTGGATGGCGCTCACTTTCGGTGGTGGCTCTGGAAGCGCTCCAGAAGCCCAAAAGCTCGACCCAAACGCGCAGCGTACATCCACATACGGCTGCAGCTCTCAACACACCCCAAGTAACCCGAAAAATCCCGAAAGCGAAAAGACACGTCGCAGGCAGGCGAGTGCGCCCGGCCTTTCCGTGCAGAGACCATGCCGTAAGGACGCGAGCCTCGTCGAGGCTGCCCAACGGTCGAGAGGTTTACGGCAAAGAAAACGCCTTCCTTCCCTGGTATCAAGACGACCTCGCAGATGCGGCTAATTATGACTCCTCACGTGCCTCAAACTCCCTGCAAAGGAATGCCAGTGATGAGATGTGACAGCGCGAAGGGACAAAGGATGAGAAGGGACGAGAAAGGAGGACATTTCGAACCCTGAGCCCAAAGTTGCCAAACTCCAAGCTCATTCGTCCCCACCTCCGCGGCTCTGCACATTCCTCGTACAGGCGAGGATGGGGGGAGTCCCAGGTCTTTCGAGCATTTAAAGCTGCTTGGAATCCAAGCCCAGCCTTGAGGAAGGCCGCAACTGCTCCACGCCGCAGCTCGCGAAAAAAGCTTGGCCTTCAGGTCATTCAAGCTGCATAAAGCGGGTGTGGGATGCCCGCTACTTGAAGGTTCATGGTACTTACTAACCAATTATATCTGGGCTTATAACCCTACTTATAATTGGGATAACCCCTATAAGGCCCTTCAGGGGTATTACAAGTAGGGTT